AAATCATGGGAGATCACATGCACAGTAACTTTAAAATAATAACAACTACTTGTACATGCGCAATAAAAACCCACCAAAACTAGCCAGGAGAGACCCACCCTAAAAGAATAAAAGCCCTCTAGCCCCTGAGGTCAGGGCTGTCAGGCTCTGCTCAGTTCTGCTCAGCTCAGCTCTGCTCTGCTCAGAGTTTGCCTGCTCCCATGTTCTGTGTGGCTTAATAAATCTGCTTTCTCTCGCTTTCTGCTATAAACTCTGTGCATTCGGTTCAATTTTTTGTCTGTGATCACCAAGAACCTGGTTACTTGTGTCCACCTGTGACACGAGGTCATCAGCAAACTATTTCCCACTAACCAAATCCAATAGTTTTAGTAACTATAATAATAACTGAACTCAGCCCACAAACTTGGATTTTTTTTTTAATGAATACTGAAATCCAGATATGTGTAATACTGATCACAAACTTTTCTTAAAAGTAAACTGTTAAGTGAATATTTTCCTATAAGTTAATCGCATTATGGCTCAATAATATAGGATAAGAGCAGGAATGGAGTGAAGAGTAGGAAAAAAAGATATATTACAGATATTCCAGAGCCACATATAATCAAAAGCACACCTCACCATACAGGCTTTATATTTCGCTCTTTAGAGAAGAATTTTCTAAGTTCCTTGAGAGGGATTTCTAGGTAATGACATATTGATCTGCAGCTAGCCTTAAACAAATAAATTACAAGGGTAGAGACTGGATTTGGTGATAAGTAACTGACCTGTTTAATATCCACTCCAACTAATTGGGGCAATTTGGCCTTGGCATCATATTTGGATTCTAATAAAAAATTTTTTCTTTTCCAAGTCATTCCAAATTATGAGATATTAATTAATCAGAGATTGCCTAAGGCAACATTTATTTGTTTCAGGAAGTATTTATTGTGGCTTGACTAGAAAAATGATAGGATCTTTATTCTTTTCAGTAGATCCCTCTAATAATCATTAAGATATGCCTACTATAAATTGGGGTGGAAGGTGATCCATACACACAACCAGCCGCTGACAATTCTTAGTCAAGTAATCTTTTTTAAGTTTAAAGGGCATCTATAGTTCAACTCATATACACAAACAAGACTTTCTTCATCATAAATGAACAGTACACTGGTACATCTTTCTTTCTGGGTCCTGATTTCATTAATCAAGCCTAAGTGGCTACAATACAGTGTTCAATCAACAAATAAATGAATGAATAAATATTCCAGGAAAGGGCCTTCCTGGAAGAGTTACCATTACCTAGAAAAGGGGAGGCATTTAAAGGATGGGGGGTGGGGAGAATAGTTAATTTTACTCTCAGAAATAAGAGGAAATCAGACTGCTCCAAAAGAATATATACAAAAAGGAGTAAAATACAAAAGCTACATCAGGGATCACAAAACTATATACTTCATAACATTCTTAAACTTAGTAGCTTTTTAAAAATCATATTTATTAGTGACTAGTAATAAAAAGCCTTCAAATAAAAAGGGTCTACGTTTATGTCCATAAGGGTAGCAAGAAAGCTCTACTTTACCGTCTTGCTGGGAAGGAAGAAAGGAAACCTAGAAATAAAGGTGAGTACTCTCAGCTTTAAAGAACAACAAAAAGATAACAAAATAGGGTAAAGATCGTCCTTACATCTTTATACTAAAACAGCATGGCACAAAGCTGCTCACAAAATGTCTGTTGAATGAATGATTCCTTCCTACCTTCTTCCTCCATTTCTTCTGCCCTTCATTTCCTTCCTTCCTCTATCCTTCCCCTCCCTCCCTCCCTACCTCCCTGTCCTTCATTATTCCCTAATCATCCAACATCCAATCCAAACACCCCCGTCCTCTCCTCCCCAAGGCCTGTAAAGTCTAAAGCATCAAGAGGTTCCTCTTGGCAAGGGTCTTAAAAACTTTTCAGTTTGCCCTCTTGAAACCTATCAAGATATATTTTAGTTCTAGGCATTGAAAATAAAATCAACTCTGATTTTCCTACTAAGAGGAAAAAAAGTCCTCAGAGAGAATCCACAGATACTGTCAGCTAAGGAAGGACTTATTGCTTTCTTCCAGAATGGTTAGCTCATACTTTGCGGTCAAGAGGTGGCATAGATTAAATGCAGTACTTTATTCTCCCACAACTGCATCAAAATGACAACTGAGCTACAGAACGATGATCTTTCAGAACAACCTGAAATGTAACTGAATGGAAGTCCTAGAAATAAGGATTTTTTTTTTAAAAGCCACATCTAGACTGGTAGGAGGACAGAGACACCAAAGGGCCTCCACCTATACCCCCATGTGGCAGATAAAAATCAGGAAGGGTATCTTGGCTACAGAGGTCGCTCGTGAGAAACAAGGGATCCCAGCCCCACACCAGGCCCCCCTAGCCCAGGGTTCCAGAGCCAGAAAGAAAAGCCCCCATAACCTCTGGGTGTAAAAACCAGTAAGGATTGTGGCTGTGTGAGATAGAGGGTTTCCAGCATCCCAAGGTGTTCCCTTTAAAGGGCCCATGCACAGACTTACTCGAACTCACCCTCTCTGAGCTCCAACATTGGGGCAGCAGCTCAAAGGGCACCAGGGACATACAGGGAGGAACTGAATTGTCTGGCTTCAGAGTGAGGACTGGAGGGACAGCTTCCTCCCAGACAGACGTGCTAGCATAGGCCACTGTTCATTTGATGAGCCCACCCCCTACTGAGACAGCATGTGGGGCACAGTATTCGAGTCTCCATCAACCTAACACTGTTCACCCCACCCTGGTGATTCCCTGAGACCACCAAAGTTGTTTCCAGTGGCTTTTCTATACAAGTGGCCTGTCTTGGCTCATGCTTCAGATTTTCCTAAAATCTCCCAAAAAAGCAGCATCTAGCCTCAGAGTGCCCCATACCTCTTGCTAAGTGGCCCCTGGCCCAGCACTAGTGGCAGCCAGACATGGTTCATAGCTTGGCCTTTCCTGGGCACCTCCAAGCCTAGCAGAAGAAGCTGCCATCTGTAGATCACTTTGTGACCCCAGGCAGAACACTGATGGTGGCTGACCTTGGTGTTCACCTACCAGGAGGCCCCAGAGTCATTGCTCCTGGTGGACAGCCTCAAACCACATTGAAGCATCACCCAAATACCTCCACAAGTGACACACTCAAGGGGTGGACTCACTGGGTACCAGAGCCCCACTGAAGTATGTCCCGCTCCATAGAGTGCACGCCTGCACAGCTGATCCTCCACAGTAGTCAGCAGTCAGTGGTTGAAGCCAATCCTTGCAGTTGATCGGCTTGGGGGTAAATGCCTCCCATTGACATGTCAACAGCATTCAAGGCTCAACTACAACAGGAGGGTATACACAGCCCACATGGTGGGTAAGGGGAGCCCAACTGGAGTGCCCAGCTCAGGTGAATAGGGAGGCTATGCCAGTGGACCCTACAGGACACCTACTACATTAGGGCATTCTACCAAGCACAGGAGACATAGCAGCTCTACCTAATGCATAAAAACAAACACAGGGACGCCGCCAAAATGAGGAGACAAAGACCATGTCCCAGATGACAGAACAGAACAAAACTCTAGAAAAAGAACTAAACAAAATGGAGACAAGGAATATACTAGATGCGGAGTTCAAAACAATGGTTATTATAAGGATGCTCAAGGAACTTAGTGAGAACTCCAACAGCATAGAAAAGGACATGGAAACCATAAAAAATAACCAGTTAGAAATCAAGGATGCACTAACTGAAATGAAGAACAATTTACAGAGATTCAATAGCACAGTATATGAAACCAAGAATCAAATCTGTGATTTAGAGTATAAAGAAGTAAAAAGCATCCAATCAGAACAACAAAAATAAAAAAGAATAAAAAAAAAAATGAGGATAGTGTAAGGAGCCTCTGGGACAACTTCAAGCACACCAACAAGCTGGAAACCTATATGAAAAAATAATGACAGAAAACTTCCATAACCTGGTGAAGGGAATAGACATACAAGTCCAAGAAGCACAGAGAATCCCTAGACATATCATAACTGAAATGTAAAAGGTTAAAGACAAAGAGAAAATCTTAAAAGCAGCAAGAAAAAAGCAGTTAGTTACCTACAAGGGAGCTCCCATAAGACTGTCAGTGATTTCTCAACAGAAACTTTGTAGGCCAGAAGGGACTGGCAAGAAACATTCAAAGTGATGAAAAAGCAAGTACCTACAACCAATATTGTTGTAACCACCAAAGCTATCATTTAGGATTGAAGGACAGATAAAGAGCTTCCCACAAGAAAAAACTAAAGGAGTTCATCACCACCAAACCATTATTATATGAAATGTTAAAGAATCTTCTTTAAGAAGAAAAATTATCAAAAACATGAACAATAAAATGGCAATAAATACTTATCTATTAAACAAATGAATCTAAAAAACAAAATGAAGAAGCAAAACAGATACAGACTCATAGATACAGAGAACATTTTGACAGTTGCCAGACGGGAGGGGGGTTGTGAGGAATGAGTGAAAAAGGTAGAGGGATTAAGAAGTACAAATTGATAGTTACAGAATAGTCACAGGAGTGTAAGATACAGCATAGGAAATATAGTCAATAATATTCCAATAACTATGTATGGTGTCAGATGGGTATGAGATATATCGGGATGATCACTTTGCAAGTTATATAATGTCTAATCACTGGGGTACACCTGAAACTAATATAATATTGTATGTCAACTTCAATTGAAAAATAAAAATGATTTAAAAATTTAAAGAAAAGAGTACACACTATGCAGGAGAGCAGTTAGCATAATCTTACCTTGAGGATACCAGAAATGGGTAGAGTATACTTTTCTTCAAATTTGGGTCAGCCCTTTGTCCCCCAACCATATTGGAAAACCAGTTCCCACCTTTTTTCCCTACTCCCACCTTCCCCAAAGTTGCTACAACAAATATATTTGCTTCCCCAGTCTCTTTTGTCTCATGCTTCAAAATGAAAGAACCCTGACTGAATTCAGTATCAGTCTCTTACCCTGCCAGGAAAGCCAAGGTGTAGGAGTTGTTCTTAGAAACAAATGCAGAGCGATGTGTCTGTGCCATCTTGCCTTGGGAGGGTTCTTCATTCTCTGAATCTGAGAGATGTGCAGGACACTGGCAGGAGAGAAGGGAGACAACACTGTCCATTTGGAGTTCCCATTGAATCTCCCATAACTGTTGTTTTAAATACTTTATTTATTTTTAGAGATGGGAAGGGAGGAAGAGGGAGAGAAACATCAATGTGCGGTTGCCTCTTGAGTGCCCCCTACTGGGGACACGGCCTGCAACCCATGCATGTGCCCTAGACTGGGAATCAAACTGGTGACCCTTTGATTTGCAGGCCGGTGCTCAATCCACTGAGCCACACCAGCTAGAGCCCGTAACTGTTTTAAATTTCACTATTATATGTCACTTCTATCTGAGCTCCAATCTATGTTTATATTTCCAGCTCCCTCCTGGAAATCCCTATCTGGATATCCCAACTGTAGCTCAAACTTAATATATCCAAAGTCAAACTCACTAGGTATCTTCTCTAAGCCTTACCAATACCAACCCAGCCAGATGCCTCAATGTCATCTATGACTCTTCTTTCCCTTACTTTGAAGTCATAATAACATTGTATAGAGATTTTGAGTACTCCAACACTAACAAATATTTTACTTCATTTACTGTTTATATTAGCTCTATTAGGAAGGGATTATTAGCTGTCTTTTATAGACGGAAAACTGAGACTCAGAGTAGTTAAATCTGTCTAGGATTGCAGAGTTAAGTAGCTGACACTGGTACTTAAATCTGCAACATCTGTCTCCAAACTGCCTCCATGGTACTTCTCTACTCCATTCTACTGATAAAATGTCTCTCAGATCTAACTCTACCCATGTATACTCAATTGTCATTGCCTTTCCTTACATTTTCATCATCTTCTGCCTGGAATATTGCAATAATTTACTTTCTACTCTCACTTTCTTCCGCCTTTTTTCCCCTCCAATCCCCTCCATACTATCAAGCACACACATAGAATCCTGCTTCACTATTGGCGACTTCCGGATAAAGTCTAAATACCTCAGCCTAATGCAATAAACTTCAAAACTAGACTCAACGTTCTTTTATAATTTTTCTCACACCAGTTCCCACACAGGGAACTCCATGAGCTCTAGTACAACCAAACTACTTTCTACTCTCCACGTGTAATTATAGTCTTTCAAAACCTCGTTTCTTTAGGACATGCTATTCCCTTTGCCTAATATTCCCCTTCCAAATTCTCTGCCTATAAAATATTCATTGGCCTTTCAGAGACATCTTAAATGTCACTTTCTCTGAAAGGGCTTCCAAATACCCCTAGAGTCAACTTTTTCCATTTTGTTGATACTCATTTACCATGATTTTATATGAGTTTCTTTTTGAGTCTTTCAGTTTACATTTGGTTTCTTTTCCATGTGCCTTTTGCGTACAACATACAGTGAGGATATGCCTCATGATTCAAAATGACAGTCTTCTTTTTAGAAAGAGCAACTAATCACACTGAACTATAGCTTCTTATTTAAGAGTCTGTCTGATGCTTTAGACAATAAACTCTGTGAGAACAAGTGACCATCTCTGCTTTAAGACTCCCAATACCATTATAAAGCCAGTAAATAAAAAATGTCTAATCATCTAATGATTAACCAGTTATCTAATGATCAAATTACTACCAAAGTGAGAGTTATAGATAGAGGCATGCAAAGTATCATCTTGTGGCTCAGAGTACACTGCATTCCTTAAATACTTTGTTGTTCTCTAGGCTGACAGGCACATACATACAGTAGGCTGTGTTTTTTAATAGTTAGCCTTTGAGACATAGTTGAAGAATTATAATTTATAGGGAAGCTTTTCAATTTTGTAGGGTACCATTCTTTAAAGAACCCTACTGTACCAATTGTTCACTGGAGAAGCTTTTTAACAGTACTAACCCATTATCAAATTTTACATAATATTCTCTTCTCAACTCTGAGAAAAAGGAAAAGGTTTGACACTTATAGATTTAACAGAGAATAAATAATGGCAATTTCTATTTAGGTGTTTCCACATAATCAATTCAGTGCCAAATAAAAGAATGTTCAAATTCAGCTCTCTTTAACTATCACAATCACTGTAGGTTAGTTCTTTTATCTTAATGAGCCTAAGTTTCTTCATCTATAAACTAAAGATTGCTCCATCTACCACAAAGATTGTAATAAACCATTAAAAGCACTTAGTACATTAACTAATAAGTAGTAAGTACCCAATAAAACATAGATTTTATTTTTATGCATTTAAATACTATTAATCTTCCAAGAAAAAAACTTCAGCATTATAGTAGATATACACTAGGTTCCTTGTAATTACTGAAAAATAAGTTTACATTATTATAATTATATAGATAGAAGGTACCCCCCCGCCCTCTATATTTCTGCCCATACGAAACCTAGCACTATGCATTCCTAAAATGGCATAAAACATGCATAATAAAATCCCCTAAGTGATAATTTTTTTAATTTACCTAAAAAATTTAAAAGAATAATATCCAGAGTTGGCAAGGGAGTGAGGAAATTAGTTTTTGATCTACTGGTGGGAGTATAACTATATACAATCTTTCAGGAGGTCAAATGAATAGTAAGTACCAATAGTCTCAAAAGGACACTCCCCTTGACCTGGTCATTCCACTTCTGGTAATTTATTTAAAGGAACTAATCTCAGGGGAGGTTTAAGATAGCAAGATATCAAAAGGAGATTCATTAATTTAACTAAATTAGTCCTACAGTAAAGAATGCTAAGAGACCACTGTATAATAATGTGGGATTCTTTATTTACATGGAATGACATCTACAGTTTAACCGTTTATTAAAAAAAAGTTTAAAACAGTATGTACACTGGGTTACATTTTCTAAAAAGAAAAAATACAGCATATATGAATTCAGAAAAAAAGTCTGGCAAAACATTTATTAAAATGTTTATAGGGGTTGTCTCTAGGTTGTGGGATGACAAGCAGTTTTTCACTTTCTGCTTTATAATATTTGGTATGACTGGAATTGTTATACCAAATTGTTTTCCAACAATTCTTATTATTATTGATATTAATGGTACCATAACAATTCATTAATCAAACACTGTGCCCATTTTATTTCCATTCTTAACAAGTAACAGATGATAATCTAATTCTGAAATAAGCACTTTCCTTCCTCTATTTGAATTCAACTGGATGAATATGTATCAAACACTTGTGATACATAAGGTACTGTAGAAAATTTTAAAACAGCTAAGACATTTCCTATACTCAAGAAACTTACAAATCTAGTAGAGAAATACAAACACACAAATAACCCCAACATAAGGGGGAATAAAATAAGTCCTGTAGCCCTGACCGGTGTGGCTCAGTTGGGTGGGTGTCACTGGTTCAATTCCCAGTCAGGGCACATGCCTAAGTTATGGGTTCAGTTCATGGCCAGGCACATATGAGAGACAACCAATCGATGTTTGTCTCTCACATAGATGTTTCTCTCCCTTCTCTTTCTCCCTCCTTTTCCCTTCCCACCCAAAAAAAGTCCTGTAAAACTTACAAAAAGGGAGAGGGAAGTTGAGAGGGGAGAGTGGCTGATGGGAGCAGAGAAACAAGTGAGGAATCCGTATAGGTTGCAGGGACGTGACAGCTTTAAACTGGACATGCAAAAATGAATAGCCTTTCAATAGGTAAATCAGGTGATATTTCAATGAGATGAAAATGCAAGATCAAAGACTCTAAGGAGGGAGAGTACAGAGTATATATTTGGGGGAAAGCAAGCATCTCCATAACCTAGAGTTTTGGGATGTAAGCAAGGACAGTAATAGAAGCTAGAATGGTAAAATAATACTAAGGATCTGAATGTTGGGGTGAAGAGTTCTCATTTAATTCCACAGGAAATGGAATTCCTGAGGTTTTGCAGGCAGAGAGTGAAATAATCAGCCCAGCTCTAATTATAACATTCTCTATATAAAATAGAATCCTTCATCTGGTTTCCCACTGAAGTCTACCTGAGCTTCTCTTCGGTCTCAATTTGAATGTCGCCTTGGCTAAACTAAATGAAATTATCTGTTCAACACCAAAAATTCTTAACACATATATAAAGCAAAATTAGAGCCATTTAAAAGTCCTCAAAAATAAAGAAGCAAATAGAAAAAAGGTAAAAAAAAAAAAATCACAAAAATCTAAAACTTGAAGCGTTCATAGATAGGATTTTATTCAATGTGTTTTTGTATAGAAAATTTTCATACCTGGCTATTACCAGTAAAAAAACGAGTCTGAGAATTTGTACTTACTGATTGCTTTTAAGATTAAAATTAGGCTGATGCAATTGATTTCTATTTCAAAGGTGGTAATTGCAAAAGAAAAAAAAATCATTAGAGCAGTCTTGACATGAATTAATACTAGAGATAATTTCCTGGAGAAAACCTGGATCTGGTAAGGCCAAAAACAGCAGGTTCTTTCTATTTAAAAAACTTGCAAAGGTAAGTGCACTTCTGGGCTGTTCTGCAAGACAGCCCTAACAGACAGTGCTGCTGAGGTGAAGTCACAGGCAGAATTTCAGTCTTGAGCGTAGATGGGGCTATTAGTCAGAAGACATAGGTGGGCCAAAAAGTCTGTTACATTTTTTCCATAAAATAAAAGACATGTTTTTCATTTTCACCAATAACTTTATTGGTTTGGATATTTTGAATATGTTGGTTATATCTCTCTATTGGCTTCTAAGGGATAGAGGCCAGGGGTGCTGCTAAATATCTTCCAATGCATAAGACAGCCCCCAGCAAATAATTATTTGGCCAAAATGTCATCACTGCCAAGAAACTTTGCAAACCACTTTTGACACATTTGATCAGTCACCCTCTCCATACACTGCACAAACCTTTTTTTGTGTTTAAGCTGCATTTTTTCCTTTCTTGAAATAAAGCACAGTATGCCAAAATGTTGCAATCTTCCTCCATATTCAATATTAAAATGGCTACCAACAAGTTCACCAATTTTGATAAGTTTTTTAAAAATGCATGTTGATATGACAGCTGTCACAAGGCAGTCTAACAAAATTGTTTCAAATGAAACTAAGCACTACTAGAGCCATAGTACAGAAAAAACTAAACAAACTTTTTGGCCAACCCAGTACTATATGCATAAAACTATCGTATATTTCATTCTTGCCTCCCTAGCCAAATATCTTCTCTGGCAGCAGCCTTTTTCCTTTTGTAGTTCCCAATGAACACAGCATTAAAAGTATACAAGCATTTTATGTTTGTTAAACTGAATCTTTTAGAAGGTTGACACCATGTATAAAATGCAAGTGGTCGTTTTTAATAATAATTAAATAATTAAAATTATTCTTATAACTGGATTCAAAAAGCCCCACATGCCTGTTGACAATCAGCAAATATGATCAATCCAAGAAAGCTTAAATAATTTAACTTTTTGAAATTTAGAAAAATGCCTTTGCAAAGAGTACATCAAAAACACAGAGAAATTATGTAATCTGGCCAAAGTTATACAGTCTGTTTTAATGCTGGGACCTATTTGAGACAGACTTCTGAACTAGAGATTTTCTTTTCTCTATTCTGCTACATTGTCTGTCTTTATATACAGTAAAGCTTTATTAATTCTGGTTAATTAGAAAGATAAATGAAATACTAACAAGACTGAATCACAAAATATTTTAAAAGATATGAATCTATAGTTAAGTGCATACAGCAAGCAATAAGAAGATGTACAATCCAGTAAGACTTACTAAAGAAAAAACCTCAGTGGTAATTACCCATTTGAGCTAATTAGTGGACCCGCAAAAGTGCTTTCTTATGTAAGATAAAATATACCACTTAATAACCTTTTCCAGTAATTTGCTTGGTAAATAAGTAATGAAAAAAATTCAGACAAGACCTGGCTCAATTAAGAGTCTAATTAGGTTAAGTTTAAGCAGCTATTATAATATAATCTAATACCTCATGTCTAGCACTGTGCTGCTTAGGGCATTATAAAGAATAAAGGGAAATTCAAGCTTTAAGGAAATCTAGTAGGGGATATAAGACACACAGAACTTAAATATTAAATAACACATAAGTCAAAATGACAATATACGTATAAAATTTACCACAAGTAGTATACTATCCTAGGTTTTCCTTTACCTTTTCCCCCCACTATTCCCTTAATCTTTCCACACAAGTCTTTTTGTCCCATTCATAAATTACTTCTCCAGCTCTCACCTGGATGCTAAGTTTCTCACTTCTCTTAAGCTTCAGTCAGTGATTATTTCTGGCCTCATAGTTTACCAACATAGGTTTTTCAGATGCATGTCACCTGGGCTAATTGCTGACTTTGAGGCAGTTGTCCATCAAAATAGTGATCTACTTACACTCTCCAGATCTGTTTTCGGCACTAATGGCTCATCTCTTTTTTTCTGTTCATCCATTTTCCTTTTCCCTGTTTCTGTATCCTCTGGCGACAGCTTGTGAATTTGATCTTCGGAGGTTTTCTCCTCTTGTAACTTTTCTTCTTTCATCTAAAAATACAAATCACACCAAGACAATAGAGTTTTAGGCAACTATTGACTTAAAAATATTTTTTCCTCAGTACTGTATTAGAACAAACATCACATGGCAGTTTTGAGACTATTTTCCTTATTGGATATAAAGCCCTCTTAATTTTTAATTAAGTCAGCTTTTATTTGACTCTTGCTAAGCATACGGTTCATGGCTTAAGATTTAACTGCTCTGCATTCTTGAGCAATATGAAACCATAAAAGCAAAGATAATACACAATCAAAAAATAAGGTTTATTCACTTAGCTGAGACAGGCTGAACCTAAAAACTTTCTTATTCCCATAAACCAGGTATAAATATACTAGACCAGGAGGAGAGCAGGGCTGTGGGCTGCAGAGGGCTGGAGAAGCTGGGCTAAACAAGGCAGATGGGTCTGTAGGCCTAGTAGCAACAGTTCTAAAAAAATGACTTTTTCACAGCTCTAATGTCCTACAATTTATGCTGTTATCCTGTGCTCCAGAGAATAGGTCAAGATACGTGATCTATGAAAAAATTTAAGGCAGAAGCATATGCTTCCTCAGTTATGGGAGGTGGCATGGCATTATGAAATTAAGACACACTTTGGCCCTGGCTGCATGGCTCAGTTGGTTGGAGCATTGTTCTTGCACCTAAACATTGCTGGTTCGATTCTGGTCAGGGCACATGCCTCGGTGTGATCCCTGGGGCGGGGGGCGGGGCATGTATGGGAGGCAACCAGTCGATGTTTCTCTCTCATTTTGATGTTTTCCTTTCTCTCTCCCCTTTTCATTCTCTTTAAAAAATCAATAAAACAGATCTGCCAGTGAGGATTAAGAAGAAAAAAAAGGGGTTATAGAATAAAAACTTGGGTTCTAGTGGTTCTGTCGCTTATTTACCAGTTAGATGACCTCTGGCAAATGAACCATCATATGCTCACCTACAAAACAGAGATAATTCTATGGAAACTTTGCAGATATTGTTATAAAAAGCAAGTAAGACAATAAAGTACTTAATGTTATGCCGTGCTGTGTACTTCCAGTACATCAAGAGTCTCCTTTCCTAATCTTTGTATTTTCTTTTCACTGACCAGGGTTTTAATAAAATTTAAATGACAATGTATATTAAAGTAGTTACAGGCTACTAATATTTTTAATCATACTTGCAAGGAAGTAAAGCTAAAGAACAAATATTTTTCATTGGCGGTTGCCTTAGGGTTAAAAAAACAAAAAAGCATAGTAACAACAACAGATTTAGCCTTATCTTTCTAAATTCTATAGGTCTGATTCCTATAAGCCTGAACTAGTCTTTAACATATTGAGTCTAATTCATGAGGTTATGAATATTTAAAGAACACTATACACAGTGCTGTATCAGGAAGATATTCAAATGAAATAATGTCCTCCCTACTCTTCTCAAATCAAACAAGAAAACAAAAGGGAAAAAGAGCAAATCCATATCCAGGGAGAAAGCAAACCTAAGTCTATGCTAGCTGCCTATGTGAAAGATCAATGCCTTCTGATGATCTTGTATGAGAAATTCTTGTTTTCAACAACTTAAACACCAGCTAAGGGGCATTTCACTTTTAGAGGATGGAGAGGCAGACCAGCACAAAAGAGAACAGGTTTTAGCATCATCATAATTATCACTGACTGAACTCTGTGTGTAAGGTGCTAAGCTAAGCACTATATATATATTATCTCACTTAAGAAAACTTAGGTTAAGAGTTAGGTAATATATTCAAGTTCACAAAGTTATAGTCCTAGAGCTGGAATTCAAATCTAGATTTACCTTAGTGGTTCTCAGCCAATGATTTTGCCTCTCAGGGCATATCTGACAATGTCTGGAGACACTTTTGGTTACAATTTAGGGGAGAAGTATGTGTGTTAATGGCATCTAGTGGCTAGAGTCCAAAGATTGCTACTAAATATCCTAAATGCAGAGGACAGCCCCCAATAACATATACATACACAGAAGTTACAATTTTTAAAAAACTAAATATTAAATTTTTTATATATTTTAGTGTTAATTTGTTTAGTGTTAATGATATTTACATACTATGCCCTGTGGCTTTTCTACATGTTTTAGAATGTATCCTTATGCCTCCTAATAATGTTTAGTGCTCTCTGAGTTTTTGGCAATGGGCCTGCATTGCTGGAAAAACCACCTTTTCATTACAGTGCTTAGTCTGCTAGCATACTATCTTAACAAAGCTAAAAATTTACAAAATTGAAAACCCATGTATCCATTTAAATCTTCACATGAATCATGTTGCTGTTTTCTCTATGCTGGGTTCTATAGAAGGTTTCTTTTTTCTTTTTTTTTCTTTTTTTTTCTTTTTTTTTTTTGCCCTTTTGGTGGTTATTTATAAGGACTTGAGGACCTGATCTCTAGGCAAGAATTTTTATACCCAGGGAAAATGCCTCTCTGAGAGTAGCATACAAATTTGAGTAAGAAATATCAATAGCTGCTGTTTATTAAACTGTTCTACATTCCAGGCATTAAGTTTATAGTTTACCTCATTTAATCCTTAAGTGCTCTATTTGTATCTCTCATTATCATTTTATATATACAAAAATTAACACTCAGTGGTTATTTTCCAGTCACAGAGGTTGAATTTTATAGCAAACCACTAGGTTCAGAGAGCAGGGTATCTCAACCTCAGCATTACTGACATTTTGGGCTTGGTAATTCTTTGTTATGGGGGAAGGGGGTTGGTCAGAGTCTAAAAACAAGGCTTCTGCATGAACACTGGTCCAATCATTGACTACCAAGGACAAAATAAGAAACTCCATGAAATGCATCTCAAGACAGTCTGAAGTGAGAAAAAGAGAATCAGGTATCTATTGACTCCTACGCCTCCCAATGACCAACATTTGCTCCACATTGGTGTTAAATGCCCCTCACATTGGTTTGTACAACTTGAGTAAATTCCCATGGTAGGTACTACAGCTGCAATAAGAGAGAAGTCCTAGAGCTAAATGTGAAAGGCAAGCAGTTGGCCCCTGAACAAGGAGATCCCAGGTTGTACCACGGTGAAGCAGCCCACTACTGTAAGTGGAATGATTTGTATTGCTTCCTTTTTCTGGATGTAATTACTAGAGAAAAACTATTGACTTCTGTACATTAATCTCATATTCAGTCATACTACCAGGAGTACCATGGAAATTTTCCTGAAAATATTTTTACTTGCCCTAATTTTTAAAAATGAACTTTTAAAAATCAAAGCATTATACACAGAAAAGTGTACAAATAATAAATGTAAGGTGTGGCAAATTACATAAAATAAGTATATCCATATAACCACTACTCAGGTCAAGAAATCATATCCCTTGTACCTAACTCCTCACCCAGAAGTAACCACAATGCCAGTTTCCAACACCTATTGTACCTATTTCTGAATTTTACGTAAGTGGAATCTTATATATACATTAAATCTGTCTTCATTCAGTGAACACTCTAGTTGTGAGATTCATCCATGTAGGTGCATATAGTTTGCTCTTTTTCACTGTGTCATAGTATTCTATTGTTTGACTACAAAACAATTTAACCATTCTATTGCTAATGGATATCTGAGTAATTACTAGTGGCTACTTACACATAAACTGCTATGACTATTTTTGAATATGTATCCTGGTACACATTTTGTTCTGTGGGATATATTCTAGAAGAGAAACTGTTTAGTCATAAGTATGGGTACATTGCCGTAGTTTTCCAAATTGGTACAAATCACACTCCCACCCACCAATCTAGCAGAATAACAGTTGCTCTCAGCCTGTTTGTCTATTTCAGACATGCCAGTAAGTATATATTGGTACTGCATTATGACTTCAATTTGCATTTCTCTTCTAAAGATGTAGCAGCTTTCCACATATTTACTACTTGGAAATCCTCTTTTATGAACTGCCTATTCACATTGTTGCCCTTTTTTCTTTTAGATATTTGAGTGCCCCTGCCCCCAGTAATTTGTGTAAGCTATTTATAGTTTTTTTAATATGAGGCAATTTTTAAGAAAAAGGTATGCAAACATATACATAGTCTCCTAGTATCTGTGGTTTCACTTTCTGCAGTGTCAGTTACCTGCAGTCAACAGTGGTCTGAAAACATTAAATGGAAAATTCCAGAAATAAACAATTGTAAGTTTTAAGTTTTGTGCGATTCTGAATAGCGTGATGAAATCTCGCACATTCCTACCCCAGGACATGACTCATCCCTTTGTCCGGCATATCCATGCTGTATGCGCTCCCCCCTGTGAAGTCACTTAGTAGCCATGTTGGTTATCAGGTCGACTGTCATGGTATCACAGTGCTTGTGTTCAAGTAATCCTTACTTTTTTTGTTATAATTGTTCTATTTTATTATCAGTTATTGTTAATCTCTTACTGTGCCCAATTTATAAATTAAACTTTTTCATAGGTGTGTATGTACAGGAAAAAGCATAGTATATACAGGGTTCAGTACTATCTGCAGCTTCAAGCATCCACTGGGGGGTCTTAGAATATCTCCCCCACAAATAAGGGGGGACACCTTTTGAAATATATACATACATATGTATGTGAGTGTACATTTTTCCCCCTCATACAGTAGCTTGCCCTTTTCACTCTTTTAGTGGTGTCTTTTGAAGGCAAGAAGTTCCAGGTTTTAATGCAGTTTAAACATCAGTGCTTTCATATCCTGTTTAAGAAATTCTCCCATGTTATTTTTAAGAAGCTTATTATTTGACCATTCACATTTAAATCTACAATCCACTTAGAATTAATTTAAAAATCAATCATGTTAGGGCATAATCTATATATGATAAAATTAACACTTATGGAATGTACTCACATATAGTTCAATGAATTCTGACAAATGCATATATCCATGTAACCATATCCCTAGTCAAAAAAGTTAGAGAACATTTTTACCACCCAACAAAGCCCCTTCAAGCCCACTAGCAATCAATCTCCCACCCGTCAGCCCTAAGCAACCCCTAACCTGATTACTGTGACTACAGATTAGTTTTG